TCTCTCTCTCTCTCTCTCTCTCTCTCTCTCTCTCTCTCTCTCTCTCTCTCTCTCTCTCTCTCTCTCTCTCTCTCTCTCTCTCTTTTCCCCTCTGTTCTTCTCTGTTCTCTGTCTTTCTCCGGTTCTTTCTCTCCCTCTACCTTTCCAGTTCAACCCCCACCTGTGTATGTGCGTGGAAGTAAAAGAATTACAGCATCCTCCTCGCGGACGTCTCGCGCTTGGCAATAATCTTCGTGGACCGAACGTTTCTGTCCTCCCCACCAGCCAATCAGACAAATCCTATAAATGCTCTTCGTCGTCCGCAAGACGAAGAAGTCACCTCCCGGGACGCTCGAGCTCTCCCGAGTGAGGCCATGTATCCGTTTTGAAGTGTCCGTTTGTTTCGGTCATCTTCAACAGTGATTGATCACGGCGATCGAGCCATGGTAAGTAGCAGTGCATCACGAATCGTGAAGGCAAAGTGACGTGATAGAAAATAGGTATGAACGATAATGAGGGTAGGAGGTGTACTCGACGCGCGAAAGACGGTGGCGGATTCGATCTCCACTCGGGGAGTGTCCTTCAGAAGTGAAATATACAGTGAACTGGTGGAAAAAAATAGCTGCTACTTGAGAACTGAGGGAATCGCGAAATTGAACTTTGCACGATATCCTTCACCGTTCATCGATCCTTTATGCCGATGTCCTGAAGTCCTCCAGAATTGTTACGTTTTCGTGCGAAACGTATCACGAAAATGTTGCATCTCACAAATGGAAACGCGAAAACAATAGTGATGACAATATTCTTGCCTTATCTGAGAAAGTGATAAAAATTATGATCGACATTTATAAAAAAATATGTTAATTACAAATTTATAAGTATAAGTTTAACAAAAAGATTTATATAACGATGAAGTGATATGCTCGATTTTCGTTTGACAAAAATTTTTTCGCCTTTTGCATAAAATTTCTAAATTTTTATTTATCAAATGTATAATTTTTAAATTAAATTCCTTTCAATATAATGTAATTCTATTATTTCTTTTGCTTTGTAACATTTTTAATTCAAAGTTTCATTTCCAATACTAGTTTATGATATTAAATCTTTTGGATATATTTAAAAAAAGTTTTTTTAAGTTTTAAGATACCATCGAATGTTTTGTCATTATGTAAGTCTTTTTACGAGATATATTCTGCATATATCTTCGCTTTTCAATTTTATTGTCGTATGATAAAGAAACGAATTCGCGGTAGAAAGTATCGAGCTCAGCGAATGCAATGGCAGAAACGTAATGGCGATAATTTATTCTGCATGCATCCTCGTGACAATGGAGAGAACACCCAGGCGCTTCTGCGCCTTCGATTTTCGACTCTTATGAACATTACACCTGTCGTGTGCACTTTCCTTTCTGTAAAATAGCGTTTTTGTTGGTGAACCTGTCGTTTGGTATTTACACATAAATCCGCATGCAGTCTTCTCGCGGGAATTAATAGCGAGACAGCCAGCAGTTGCAAATGTCAAGGGTTATTATTGTTCCTTGTAACTTGAAATCCTTGTAACTTGAAATCTATTTCGTACAATATTTTTAAAATTTTTTATATGATAAAATAAATCTTTTTATAAAAAAATATATAAGATTAATGAAATTATTATATGTGTATGTGTGAATTAGATAGCTTAAAAATTATTTTTAATAGATTGTAATAATTTTTCAAAATTGACAAGGATTATTTTGTTTTATTAATTACTTTCTTTTATAAATATATTAGAGTTAAATTCCAAAACACGTTTAAGTTTTTTTGTTAATTAAAATTTATTAATTGAGTTAAAAATTAATTATAATTTGAAAATTTAATTAATTATTGCTGTTTTATATAAAATTATAGATTAAATAATCAACTTATAAAAAATATATTAATAAATTAATAATATCAATAGATTAATATGTTTCAAGACAAGAATTTTTATTTTGCAAGTAGTATTTTAAAAAGTATTATTTTAATTAGGAAGTTTGAAATATATTTATTTATTTGTGTTGATTTATTTAAATTTTAAAATTCACTAAATATAAAATAATTCTCTTCGCTTAAAACGATTTTAATATGATATAAAATTTCTGTTCACCGACTAATCCGCCGACTTGTTCACATTTATATCCACAAAAATCATTTCAGATTATCATCTTCTATATCTACTTCGTGACTGCTGAAAGTATATTAAAATAAAATCTTATTATTAATATTTTCTGTAAGATATATTCTCAACACTAACTGCTAAAACTAATATTAAATTCTGTATCATGAGATCACAGTCGGAGACTAAAATATCGCTCATTAGCAATTTTATCGATATTTATATTTTTAAATTTTGCTGATCGAATTAGAAATGCCTAATTCTTGCTTAATACATGGATTAAAATGAGAACGGTCTTTTGATCACGTAACGAAGTAAATTTTCGTCTGATAAAGGTCAATCCCGCAGTTTTGCGCATAAAAGTTACACGCCATCAAACTGTTCAGTTCGCGTGCCATTAGAGGTCTCGAGGATCTCATGGCGTAATAGAACCGCGTCTTCTGTTCGACATCAAATAAGTCACAGATACTTACACAAGTCTCTCGCTGGTTCACGGCCTAGCACAACCACGCTTTATGCTAATTAGGTGAATCCGAACTGAGAAAAGATACTTAGATCAATAGTAGTTTTTTTGATGATCTCTTTCACTGTCCTTCACGTGTCTCTCCTCTGTGTCTTATTAAAAGGTAATGCTAATTACAATTGTTATTTAAATTTATGATGTTTAAAAACAATAATTAAACAAACTGAATTATTTTTAAAATTCATTTCAACAACAAATTAAAATTTTTGTTAAAATAATTTAATTTCTCTAATTAAAAAGAAATTTGTTATTAAAATTACAGTTTAAGATTATTTGCAACTTTTTGTATGTAATGTCGATGAATTTCTATTACTTACATATTATAACATGTGTATCATGATTCCCTACAAAAAAGTAAAGAGTCCTACGACTCGTTAACTAATGTTAAATTTTTGCAGTCTCTTGATTAAATATAGTCTGAATATAGTCTGAACATCAATTACTGACTACACGAGAAAGTAAAATTGGCGAAATTATCTTGTAATAGTTTTGCACTAACATGATGCATAATTGAAATTCTTGCTCAATTTAATCGAGGATTAAAGATCGACACATGATTAGAATTAATAATGTTACATGTAATTGACTAGTCGTGTAGCATGTAAACAAATTTTTATATTATTATAAACATTGTCAAGATTTATTTGTTTATGATAAAGTAATTCTACAAATATATATATTATATTTATACATAGCAACTACCTATAAGAATATAGAAGCATAACAACGACGATTCTTACGTCATTGGATTCTATGTACTGTCAGGAACGTCACAGTTATCCGCGACACTCATCAGCATTTGATGCACAAGATAATGGAAATGCATATTCAATCGGTAACTGCATAAGCCGTAAGATTCTCACGTGAAAGGTTTTTGCCTTACGAGAAATATTAGGATCGACACTTTCCGTTTTATGTAATGCCACAAAAGCTACGCAAACGTAAACGATATTTTATTACACACATAATGTTGTTAAGTACATATTACTTTTAATTTTTCAAAATATTAATTAAATGTTGAAATATAAGTTAAAGGATGTACATTAAAGTGCATATCATTAAAAATTACAACTACGAAGAAAATTGCATTACTATAATTATTATTGATTGGTAATTTAAGAAAATTATTTCCAATAATATTGAAAGTAATTAACGAATAGAGAATAAATCATCATGTCATTTTACTTACAAAAAATAAATTCGAAATTGTAAATGACGATTATTATGATACTAATTATGATACTATATAATTAATAATAATTATGATACTTATATAATTAATAATAATTATGATAATTATGATACTAATTACTTAACTTGCAACACATAATTATAACTTTCACTGATCTATTCGCTGCCTGGTATCTGTCTGGGCTGAATATCAATGATTCTGCATCGTTAACGATCCGCAAAAATGTCGTAATTACTACCGAAGCATCTGTTCGATGTATTACGTAAGCAAATCTCGCGAGAAAATTTTTTTTTCTAAATCCCCAGATTATTGCCCGTCAGCTGAATGATGAATCGTCTTTTCGACGATTCGTCACGTTTGATTGTGTCGATGGAATTCAATTTCTTGGTGTGATAATATTATATAGATAAGGCTAAATCAGTATCAACATATTGTGAAAGTATTCATTCTAGCGAACAAATTAATAACATATAATTGCCAATACGAATTAATTAAACCTGTGGTGTTTGATGGACTATGACAATTTCTAAATTAATTGCTTCAACGCCATCATATTTACAGCTCATTATCACATCGTATTCTGTCAGCGCTGAATAACGTGTTAACATAGAAATACTAGAATTATTTCAATATTTGCCGAGTAAAAATAAAAGAACTTTCGATATTCAGTCTTTTCGATGGCAATTTTCTAAAAATAAACGTGCTTCTACAACATTTTGCTATTCACTTAGCATAAATGCAAGCGTTCGTCCAAATGTGTGTTTCGAAAATGTTCTCAGATGTCATCCAGTTATATTGATCATGAAACTTTGCATTTCACCATAAAAAAAATTAATTGATAAAATTATTAAAATTGTCAAAATTTACCTGTCAAATTAATAGTGTTAATGCCATTAAGTTATTGCAATTTTAAAAAATACATGTTCTTAAAAGTATGAGAAATTTTTATTATACGTTGCGCAATGAAAATTCCGATTGAAAATTTCAAGAAAATTTTAACACGTTCAAGTAATCTTGAAATTATCGTATGTATACAATATAAAAATGCCGTACCTGTAGGAGAAGTGAAAAGACATTATCGATGATTTCGTAATTACATATCTTAAGGTATTCGGTATTTCAGAAATGTTTGCATTGCTCAATAATGTTTTCCAAGACTGAAATTTTATCATATTTTTATTATAGTTGTATTTGTTTCATTGTAATCTTTTTACTATATAAATACATTAAAATACGTCTTTAATAAAAAAATTTACATGATATAATTACTTAATGAAAAGATTATCGAAAAAGCGAAATAAAGGTCAGTGACTATATTCATCGATGTATCACACATAACAAACTTTCAATTTCTCGGCGCGTTTTTTACCTTTTATTTCTGTTTCTATTAATTGTTTAATCTACAATAAAAATCATATAAATTCTTATATTTTATAAAGTTTAAAAATTATAAGAACAAAATTCAATACAGAATAGAATACATTTCAAGCTATAGATAACACAATCTTTAATCGCATCTTTTACTTTAATTAAAAAAAACTGGAGCTATTATATCTATATGTGATAATATCCTTATTTGAAAGGCGATCTATGATCCT